GCTTATGAGTGCTCGCTTTTACTGCATTCAAGTTTAAAACTATCCTGTCGACACGTCCCTAATGCATTTGAATTATTTTGAATACGTCTACATGCAAATTTTGTCTTTATTCCTTGGAAATAAGATTCAAATACAAACACTGAAATGTTGCTACGTCAACGTTCCAGTGCGTGATCCCCATGAATGCCCCATTGTAGAACATCCATTGACTGACATAATTACAGGGACGTGTGCTATATTGAGTCACTAAGTGTAACCAACAATAATAATATTTTTTTATTACTAACAAGGTTTTTTAACCAAAACAAAACGGGTTTACTTACTGTGATGTTAAGAATGTCACTAATACCTAAAACTAAGATTATTTTCAACATAGCTCATCTAACTTTACTAATAGTATTGGTACAATAGAGAATTTAAGCTAAATTGTTTCGACCATGCCCAATCTCCTTCAAAACCACGTCATACCTAAAAGTCATAGTCATTAATATTTTCTGAAAATGGGCTTTCGAACAGCGCTTTAACAAGCCCAACTATGATAAATCATAAAATCTGGCACGTCTCTCCCACAGCCCACTCAATACCAACTATGACTACGCCACTTTTATTATCCATCACAGATTAGATGAGCAATGAATTCAAATTAGATTTGCTGTCATAAAACTCTGTCACTTAACACTGAAATTACCGACATCCTCGACGGCCAATGCCTACATCCCATTGTTTGGAGCTATACTTACGCAAGCAATTGCTCTTACAAACGTTCCATCGCCGAATATATTAAGGGCAATAATGGAGTCCCGTTCCCTCGTAAACAATGGTTGAAGCTAGGAACCGTGATAAAACGTGCCCGTATAGAACAATGCTGTGACAAGTTTGACTAAATTACGTTCCGCTTTGGGGCAAAGTTTGATTATTGATTATTGACGTATCGTTATTTGAAACATTCACTATCAAAGTCAGTGTATTGTCTACCTGTCTACCCCCTACCTAAACCTAACCTTTATAATATACGTGGTTATTTCCAGCTGTACAATAGCTGATTGTTGTTTGCTCCTGTCCCATACACAAGGCCGTTATTACATACATGAAAACATGAGGGTCGAGAGGCAGTAACAAATTTTCAGGACAGATGGCCTTTATTTGATAACTCGTCGTATTGTTGTCGGTCTCGGTGGCTTTATATCACGCACGACACGAGTCCCTGTACAAGGGCACGTGATAAAATCTAATTAACTACCTTATTCTGTAAATGTTAACCAATAATTTGATTCGGACTTTTATCCCCTTATTACAAAAAGATAGATTCTGGTTAAACTCTGGTTTAAATTGATATTTAGTGTGGAAATTTCATTTTAAACCAGTGTTCATACCGGGTTTAACTTGTCTGTAAAACGGCACGTAAGTAAGGTTGGTACCACCAAAATATGTATGACGAATTGACGATGCCTATTGGTTAACCTCTTTGGTTCGTGTCACGTAAATTCCTGAGCTTTCGGTCTTGTCAAACTTTGTGTTATATTACTGTATTTTCTTTTACGAAGGTAATACTCCGAGGAACAAAAGCTGTCTTTGGCATTCCTTTACATATTAAGCGTTCCGTATGACGTAGGGACTTGTATACTGACAGCTACAAGCGTATACACAAATACATATGTAACTGAGCGGAGGATCGTTATCGTAAAATATGCAAATGCCTAAATGCAAATGGCTTTGTTAGTTTCGCAACTACACCGGATTCTAGTGGTTTTTGGAGTAGCAAAGCATAGAACCGAATGATTATGGTAGTTTGAAAATGCAGTTAGAATAATGTCCTTATTTTATTTGTTGTTTACTACGTACGAGTATAGGATGATTTAATGTCGTAATGAAAAAGCAATATCAAATTTTACCCTACCTACACAATTCTATTACCTCATCCTTCTTTATTAGATATTTTAATACATCCCCCGTAGTTGGGTGTGGGGTTTTCTGTACGTCAAAGAATATAGAGCTATACGCAAGTATTTTTCACTAATATACCCACACGATCAAACTATCTGGGCATTCGTGAGATGAATTCACGCTAGTACTAAACATACAATTTTAGAATGAAACGTAATAATTTAATGAAATCAGACACCATCAGGTGCCATTATTGTGTAAGGTAGCTGTATAAAATACTATACGTAACATACAATGCGATTACTGGCATATCCGACCATCCAACTCAGCGTCTGTCGCGCTGATTGATCTCGTTACCAGCAGGGTGAAGCCTTCAAAGGGTTAAATTTATCGCAACGACGTCTATTATTTTAATATTATATTGTTTTAAGCAATAAATGGACGTAATGTAACGTTTAACACACAACAAATTGAACCCCATAAGTAGTATATTAAAATAAAAATTTATCAGTCTTCTTTATTTTCTAAATTGATCAGCTGGAGCCCGTATGTCAAACGCCACTAACAACCCCGAAACCACAGACCAAAATATTTCTATAAAGCTATACAATAACACAAAACATACAGACGATAACACATTTCGAATTCGCCTCTATTACAACTAAACACAAGCTTGATAACCTTATACATCGCAGCATTGTAATAGTTACATTCACACTACGTAATAAGCGCCTGCGCATGGCTTTATCTAATCTAGTACGCGAGACAGACGCAACCATATCAAGTAGCTCAGATAGTGCAGTAGTGTGTAAACTATCATTGCATCCACATATAGCCCAGACTGCAGCTGCGACAAAAAAGCGACGAGACTTGACTACGCAACTCTGTATTCTGAGGCGGAGCTATTTCCCGTATGTTTTTGATTACTATCTAATTAACGTTACTAACAAAGCAACATCATTAAATTTTTGTTAATATCAGATCATTACTCATTGCTTGCTATTGTAAAATGGTTGTTCCTGAATTGACTAACGTAAGAGTGGGACGTAATAAGAAGTTGGTATTCATAAAGATTTCATATGAATATGAATATTTTTAGTATTTTACATCTCACAATGTTAAAGGAGTCCAACATATTCTGTATACCATTACTATGTTGTTAGTATCATTTGTTGTGCTCATTCGACCTACAAAGTTATTGATACAATTACTATGACTAATACCTACACGACTGACTTAAGTATGACTAGCTTTTGCCCGCGGCTTCACCCGCGTGTAATTTAGTTGGTCACATGTCGTCATAAATTATAGCCTATATGTTATTCCGGGTTATAAATAGATAATAATACTGTAAAGTTTCATCAAAATCCGTACAGTAGTTTTTGCGTGAACGAGTAACAAACACCCAGACATCCATACAAACTTTCGCTTTTATAATATTAGTAGGATTTTGATTCACTTTTTTGTAATAAAACTTTCGTTATGATATACAAAGATATTGCTGAAAACGTTTCAATATTATCCTAATATCCACAGATTTAAATCTCGTCAGAGACAAACAATACAAGTCACGCGCCATTACACTCCTACGAATACAACCATTTGCTTAAAGTAATCCTTTCTGATCCTCTCATAGTGTCGTCGTCCTATAATTTACTTCAATTACTGCTTACTAGGCGTCTGGCATTTAAACGAAACAAAGGAAACGCGTTGTTGGATATTATTATTATGACCGCCGTTACGCTAGTTCCTGATAAAGTTTCAGATAGCTACTTATACCTACTTAAATATTTCCAATATCTCCTCTCATAACGATCTGATAAAAATGTGTAATTCCTTATTATGTACCCGTAAAATCAAGATGTATTTCTCTGACACGTAAATAAAAATTTTATAGAAAACTAAAGCCATCTTCAAAGGACTCTATCAGCAAAAGGTGAAAACAGGCCTCATAATCATTATAAACTTTAGTTTGTTTGTACTGAGCTGACTAATGAAAAAATCCAACCTTCTACTAGATTTAAATTCACGTTCACAGCAGACGAAATGATTTAGCATAATCTCAAGCTCAACCTAATTAAACTAATTGAACTAATCCAAGATATCCCAAAAAGTTTTGCTCTCTGAAAGTTTCTGTAAGTGGTTTATATCAAAAAAAGTTTGCCTTTCGCTCGCTAAAAACTTTTAACCAACTTAGTTTCTTAGCAAATTCTATTTCGACGATATACGTAGGTACTTGCTTAATGAAGGCATTGATAAAGTCCATTAACCTACTAACTAATTAACTTTTGTTTGAAGTTATCTTGACGTGTTTATTTTTTTAATTTAATCGTATTTCTCTCTTAATTGAATAGATTATCTTAAGCATCAATTGTAGGAAAAGATATAAAACAATTGAGACCACTTTCATACGAAGCCGTTGGAACTGTCTTTGATCCATACCCACTCATAGCGTTATATTAAACTTTACTAATATTAAATTACTTCACTGTCAAATTGCGACATGCCTTTGACATAAGCTACGCGAAACGCTTTGCTGGCAAGGCAACAAAAATCAACCCCCTACGAAAAACTTTATTAATAAGTAAAGTTATCAAAGAACAATATTGAAATCTGGCAACTTTTCCACTCCAATTTATATTCCCTCTCCTCACGCTTAAGGGTTTCTGAAGATGTGGGCGTAATAAAGACAAGTCTTCAAGACTTAAGAGGCAGTTTACATATTTTGAAATTATTTCTTAATCGGACGTTGAAGTGCCAGAGACTTGAATATTGAAAAGGTTGGAAACTTTCATCGCCAGGAAGATCAGCTTAATTATGTTTATTTCAGTGCTCTAAATTGAATGTAAATCCGTACAATCGTTTCAGGTAAACATCAGGCAATCTCCTAAAAATAACATCAATAGATCGATATGTCTCTATAAAATATATGTAACTGAAAGGCCATAAATAGATATTTTCGCTATCAAAGTACGGAATCCCAGAAGTTTTCAATCAACCTTCGTAACTTGTCTGGTGCCCGCGGCGTCCGTCAGTCCGTCGTAAAATGTTTACATCTATGATCCTGTTTAAGGTCGTTGTAATAAGAATAATAATGTTTTGTTTCCTCTTTGCAGATTACACGCGGTACGACGGTGAAGAGGCGGTATGTATCTACACCTGTTTCTTTGTCAACTTCTAAAATATGCGTTGGGTAAAAATTCACTCAAAGATAATAATTGGTATAATGTTAGTCCCTGGCGAATGAATTTCAATTTCCCGTACCTCAAAAGAGAAGAAATACATGTCCAGTATCTTTCCTTTGGCCGCCTGTAGTTTTATCTGCCACGATCCTTCTGGTCAAAAACACGTGGAGAATTTTTATGTAGAGTTACAAATACATTACAGACGTAAGTAAACAGACAAAAATATTTCACAATTTGCAAACTATGAAGAGGCAAACAATCTCAGGCTTTCAGTATTTATATTCATTTACAAAGGGCTTATACGAGTATAAGTACATTCTATTTTAGCGGCCTACTGCTCCCATGGGAAGCGCTAGGAGATTTAACGCGTGACTTGACTTTTAGCACTGGAAAAAACCTATACTAGGGTTCAGCATGTAAAGAAAACTTATTAAATAATAGTATAGCAACACCCTAACAAAAAAAATACAAGACGAAGATGTAAACACAAGGAATACTTTCGATTAAGCCATAAAACGTTTTACCAATGCACAATATAGCCTTTTCAACAATTACTGCCATTTCCAAGTACATAACACGTAACAAAAAGTACACAATTCGTTAAGGCTTTCCATTGATTGGCGCTATTCAATGGGTCCCACAAACAAAATGTCGAAACCACTAACAATGGGCAATCGCGAATCAATTGCATAAGTACGGAACTCTACCGCCGCTTGATGCGTGCTCTTGGCTAGTCAGGTCAATGGCAAACATAAAAACAAGTGTGAAAATTGACCCATATCCCGCTCCAGTGGGCCCCGAAGCCCCATATACAATGTTCTATGAGGGGCGCGGGATTATAATTGCTAATAATTGATACACACGGCCTGGAAGGGCAACGCACATACGAGTAGTAATTCAACTCAAAATTAGAAACCATTGACAGCGACCAATTTAACTAATTCATCTCATTTATTTTGATTTACAGCGCCCATATGCACATAATAAAAACTCTTAAATTACGTCGGACTGAATTTAATCTGGGACTCTATCTCGCTAATCGGACGTTTATGTAAAATAAACATAGCTCTTACTTTTCGTATAACGGCCTTATTTTTCCATAATTACGTAAGAAACGGTAAAGTTTTGGGCAGTTAAACAGATGAAATCAACAGCCGTGGATTAATGAATGTTTACAAAACTTAATCCGCTTTGTGGAAATTTTATCTGACATAAGTAATAGATAGTTATATTCCATTCATAAACTTGCGTCCGTTAGCTTTTGATATTTTTCCATGAATACAGTAGCTGCAATCACATCGAGAAATTATTTTTGAGAGAGATGACTATTGATAGAACGTATGCAAATAGTCGTTAACAAGCTCTGTGATTCGCCGCCAGCCACGGAATTCGAAATCAAGCGTATATTTATTCAAATAGGGCCTAGTAGGGTTTACTCAATCAAAGGCCTTATATGGCTCAGGAATTTCGAAACTTATGACATGTTTGAAACATTAGGGAATGTAGGAAAATTTGTTTATGTGTATATTTATGTGAGTTGACTGAACGCCGGTCACTGGCTCCTTTAATGTTTCCGCAGTTGCTCGCTTGAACACTGGCTCATATGTACAGGGTGCGTGTGAACATGTAGGCGGAAAGTTCACATGATCGTCGACCAGAATGATAGAGCTCCGAGTGATCAAAGAAAAGTTTTTGTCCCGTAGTTTTGGCAAAGCTCTCGCTAGGGAGGGGAGGTCTAAATACAGTGGCTGCTCTCCGGAGAATAGAGACACATGCGGGGTGTGGGAACTGCAGCTTGCACCCTCTGCAAGGTGCAGCTGCATTTTATTATATGAGTTCATTTTATGGTCCAGCTCTACCACTAATTACAAATCAAAAAGTTTTCCTACTTGGACCATGCTAAAACATGGTTATGTTATTGAGGAAAATAAGATAAGAAAGACTTATTCATTCGTACTACGGCGTCTCATCCTCGGTTGTTATCCTCTCTAAACCTGTACAATAATAATAATAATAAGTGTATGCTAAAGTCATTTTCCTTTAAAATATTACTTCGCAGAAATATCGAACAGTCATAACATATTACGGTTGCAAATATAATAATATGCAGAGCACACAGTCATCACGCGGTAAAGTTACATAATGACTGCGTTTGTACGCAGTGATAATTCGTCCTGACTTACAACGGACTACATCATATGAATTCACAAAACAAACATCAGCTGTGCTAATTCAAATGTCTCATCTGCTACACTTTTTCTTCACCTGCGGCTGCGCAACGCAGCGGAAAGCGGAAAAAATATGACAGATGCAAGTGTCATGTGTTATTGACATTTAGGGAGAGCAAAAAAGGTCTTCCTAGACATCTTGCAACTATTTCTTTTGTCATAGCAAAGGTTATGAACGCCCTAATTAGTAGCTAGTGCTAGTATAGGAAATTTCAAAAACATGCCTACTCCTAGTAAACTTAGATATTAGAAATTATTGCTAGCCCTACATACTAAAATTAAAGGACAATATACATACGAATAGGTATTACAAAGGTCATACCTGTGTGCCAAAATGATCAACATCAGCACGAATCAATTTGGCACATACCTACTTAAGTTATGTACTCGTAAGACTGTTATTTGAACTAACATTGTAGGTGCCAGTAAATACTTTTTGTTATTTGCTTTTTCTAAGATCGTAGAGAGTACCTACTAAATCTAGAATGTTATTAGGTTCTCACCTTTAGACTATTAGACTAGGAAAGTACCTAATATACTTTATACTCAAACACTTAAGTAAGGAATTTTAAATAAATTAGCTTAATAAAGGTAGGTCATAAAATTCTCAGCCTCGCTAAACTTGGTACTTACTGTGCTAAATCAGTTGTTGGGGACTTACCAGCCGTAATGAAGCCGAGAGAGTATTTCCCCGCAACATTTCACACTCGGCGTTAGCAAACACAACGTAGCCAGGGCCGGATTAACCATCTCGGGGCCCCTAGGCACAACTCGTTTCGGGCCCCCCTTTTTCATACCACAACAACGCAATTTGGAAATTTTTACTGTCTACATTACGAAATTGAATGAAGGTACCATCATTATCAACAATAGACTTTAGTCATAACATTGCAAAGGTATACTTCTAATTTTTTTAGATAAAAAATCGTTTAAAACTTCTTGAAAATTGACCTTTTCTGATACATCATCTTTAACATAATGTTTTTTATTTTTCATTTTTTAATCGGGAGTGCTGGGCCCCTGGTCATAGTGGGCCCCTAGGCACTGGCCTAAAGTGCCTTATGGATAATACGGCACTGAACGTAGCTCCTTTTAGTCGTACTTTATCGTGAAAATATGCATGAACTGAGGGCAAACTCTGTTTAATGTTCCACGAAAACGAATGAAAATAAAACATGTTAATATATATCTATACTTATAATAAATCTGTAGAGAGGTCAATTCTGTACATGAAATATATTTTCAAAATAACTATCAGGGGGTGATTAGTGATCGATACTTATGCCAAAAATGCAATCAGTAAATTTTTTGTCTGTCTGTCTGTCTGTCCGTCTGTCTGTCTGTCTGTCTGTCTGTATGTTCCTTATAGAAACAAAAACTACTTGACGGATTTTAACGAAACTTGGTACAATAATTCTTCATACTCCTGGGCAGGTTATAGTATACTTAGGAATTCCCACGGGAACGGGAATTAGCGGGAAAATCCTTTTGTATGAAAAATCTAAACCGCTTAAGTTAGACGCTTGAAATTTGGCATGCAGGTACCTTAGTAAACGTAAAGCTTAGTTACAACAGGATATTGCAAAATTCCCACGGGAACGGGAGTTAGCGGGAAAAAACATTTGTATGAAAAAATCTAAACCGCGTAAGATAGATGAAGGGGGTAAAACGGGATCCACGCGTACGAAGTCGCAGGCGGCCGCTAGTTTACATAATATTTTTGGTATGGTGAGGTCATGTCTTTCATACGAATTTCCTAAAGTCACATCGTTCCCAGTCAAAAACAATTATATTTTCATAACAAAGACTCGATGACTGATGATGTTCGTAATTAAAGCGACTTAAAATACTGCTTTAAGTATAAAGAAATAACAAACAAATGACTTCATACAATGAGCAGATCATTATTTTTATTACGATGTAGGGTCAGTGTGTTCGTGACATCATCATTATGAGTAAAAAAAACTTTGATCAACTCGAAACAACTACTTAGTTGCCCGAAATTTGATAGTTCTTTATAACATTTACCCAAATAGATGACTTTGAAGATGTTAGACAAATAAGCTTTTATTATTGTTTACCTCTGATCATGTTTTGTAAGAAAACACGTTTTACAACCTCGGGACAATGTTGTGACGCGATCGAGATAGGTACCGTCAAAGCTCGTTCGTTCACAATTTTATGCTTCAGGCGGTCGAGACTGCTTTTAATATTATTTTTGTATCTTTCAGAACACTGTATTATCATATCGTTTGTTTTTATAACCCGATGTTTTAACAATTTGTCAAACAACGATTTCAGAAGCTCAAATACCAAACACAAATCTACTACACTAACTCTTGTATTTCATTAACAAAGTAGACTGCTTGAATAAACCACTCAACATGCCAATCTCGCGAAACTCGTAGCAAGCAGAACAGGAGATAATACGGATTCCAATCGATACGTTCCCACATCCAAATTCCGTAAGTAAATTCAACACCCGTATTATTTTCTCTTTCATTCGGGAGGATTGCGGGCAGACGATAAATGGTCCCGTTATCCAGTTGATTCCGTGGAATTATTCCAGTCGTATTATTGGGTAACGCATATCTAACTGGAGAGCGATGGCTCGTGTAAGTAGGTCGGATATTAGGGGACAGAACGAGAGCGGCCAACTGGGTCGTGGCTCCGGCAGGGCTGCGTTCTCCACCGGTACTTACGGAGACCTGTAACTCAGCAAAGCTTGTTGC